GATCTGCCAGATCAACCCCACACATATGCCGGCTTTAGGCCTTGATGCAGAATGGCTTCCTTGTGCTCTCAGCTCTGCCATGTACAGAGACCTCCACAGTCCTCTCAGCGTGGAACGTGGTAAGAAGGTACACATCCTTCTTGTCTCTGTACTTAACTGCCAACAGCTCCTCTTGGCGCAGACCAGAGGCGCAGACTCTAACGCAGACCTGAGGTCTCCCCCCTTCCAGGGCCGGACTGGGGATTCCAGAGCAGCCCTGGAAAAAAAATCTATGTCAGCCCCATAAGTCATTGCGCCATATATTGTCGCATGTAATATGTAAGGCTTTTTCTTGCCACCCTAGATAATTGATATATATATACATATAGCTTTTTCCAATATAAAACATTGGTCCTTTCAGAGTTAATTTTTTAATTATACAGTAAGCATACTCACATGCAGACACAGACAATTTCACTGACACAAGCTGATTGATACACAGCCTCATAGACAAACAATCTCACTGATATACATAAGGTCATTGACATAAAAACACAAGCTCACTCAGACGGACACTAGAGGTGCTTCCTGTGTCAGTGCAGATTGGCTGAGATAATCAAGCTTGATGATCTCAGCCGTAGAGGCAGGGCTAGTCGAGGGGAGACCAGCACGACGTGGGAAAAAAAAAAAGAAGGTGAGTAAGAACACACACGTACCATGACAGACACACATCATGACACAGACAGACCGTGACACAGACAGAAACACAGACACACCATGACAGACACACCATGACACACACACACACCATGACAGAGACACACACATACCATGACAGACACAAACACATACCATGACAGACACACACCTTAAAAAAGACACACACACCTTGATATACACACACACACCATAACACAGACACACACGCATTGTGACACAGACACACACGTATCGTGACACAGTCACACATTAAATGACACAGGCAGACACACACACCATGACATACAGACACACACACACCACGACACAGAGAGACCGTGACACAGACACACACACAC